AATTGTGATAAATTATTCAGTTAGTGTCGAAATCAAGACAATTTTCTACATTATAGTCCCCTCCTCTTGCACTGACTAAATATTAAAATAAGCCAGTCTGATTGCGAATTTACAAATCCTGTAAAAGTAGCTCCAAACCGCCTTTTAATCAGAGAAAACAATACGTTAATTCATCTGATTGCGAAAATACGAATCAACCTGATTATCTGATCTCTATGCTATTTGATTCGTGCACTATCTACAAGTCAGTCGGGCAAGGGTGAAATTATTTCATTTGAATACAGAAATAAATATCAGAACCCCTCTAGCATAATTATTCGGAAGAAATTCATACAAAAAATAAGGTACACAACTGATGAAGGGTCGCACACAATGCACGCACCCCTCTCCTCCTCCTCCGTGTTTGCCCACACACGACCATATTTGACAATTTTTCTAAAAGCGTTTTTCCCGGGAATATAGGTGTAGCGGTTGCCAGAAGTCGCACAGCTTGGGAGTCAGGGTATCCTGATCCATGCCTCAACGCCTGACAGGTCTGATATTTAGAGGGGGCTCAAGAATTATTAGGGGGCGGGGTAAACGTGAAAGTCCATAGGCGTAGCCAGGAGGGGGGGGGGGGTGCGATGGGTGCGATAACAATAGGCTTTATATATGCTTTAATGTTTTATTTATCATGATGCTTTTATGTAGGCTATTAATTACAGTTCTTTTTGCAATATAAAACTGGTATGTTTATGCAAATTCCGATTGGACTAATATAAAGGGATATTGTTTCATTATGTGGACTTGAGAAAGTCCGACATACTCATTGCTTTCAACCCAAAACTTAAAATAGGAAGTTATCAAGATCCCAAGAACACGATCGCTACTTAAACAATACGTTTGTAAAATCCCGGCGATCGAAATGCAATCAAACTTTCGCAATCAGGTGCCTAATTAGTCTTTTGATCTCTAAAGCTTTACGACTGAACGTTTCAATGAACTCGTGAGAAGCAAACGCAATCATCATATAAACATTTTTCTAGTAAATCTAAAATAGAGTAAAACCCAGGGAAAAAGATCGCGTGTTCATAGGAATTAGGCATATTTCAATTTTGAAATAGCAAAAGTCAGTCTGGAAGAATTTTTCAAGCATTCCCTGCTTCGATGTGTTTTTATTGCAAGGGCCGTTTAGCGCCGATATGAATTCATTATAGGGCATTAGGGTTGTGCTTTATTTGTTTTATTTATATAAATGTTAAAAAATGTGTACGACACTTTAATGAATTATTTTTAGGGTTACAATGCATATTTGACTTTTCCCTCTAAACGTTTAAAATTCATCTTTATACTTTTCTTAGTTTGCTTCAATAAAATTAACATTGGATCCCAGACAGTTATCAAATTCTCAGACATTTGATTAATATAGATATTTGTACTTCCTTTGACCAGTGGTGCTGGTGTGACTGAGATTCGAATCTAATCTGTTTCATTTTTATGTAAATTGAGAGGAATAAAGTTTTATTTTAAGCGTTTTAACAATCTTAACGTTTGGCGTGCAGCTCAACTTAATACACAATCAAAGGTCAAATACAGAAATAAGAACATGCCTTTTATTTGTTATTCAAGCTCGAGCAATATCCCCGTTATAAAACCAAAATAACTGCGGTTAGGTACCATATCTTGATTACAGTAAAGACAGGCCATCTCATTCTGGTATGCCAGAGCCACTCTTATCTGCCGATTGTGGAAGGATAAAGACAAAGGGGTCGCGGCTATCGCAATGAGGCCATCTTATTTCTAGGAATTATTTCTGCCTCTCATTCCTTAAACCGGCTTCGTTAAACAGTGCCAAAATATATAAGTCGGAGCCAAAAACAAACTATTTTTATATTTAAATCCCCTCACCTTGTCAATGTCTATGCCTGCATCTGGTTTTCCCACCTTTGGAAGGGAGCCAATATACACATAGATTACTTACTGGCCATGGACGGGGGGGGGGGCACAGAAACGAACATTCTGGGGTCATAAGGGATACTTGGGGAAGGGGGGGGGGTGGTGGTGAATAGTGAAGTCCGGGAGTGAAGTTAAGGGGTACTGAAATCTTTCTTTTGATATTTAGTGCTTGAATGGAGACTTGTTTCCACTCCCCGCATTCTAGTAGAATTTAAATATTTGATCCAAAGGAGTTATTTTAAATCAAACTTGCATTCCGATTAATTAACACTCCAATGATTGTACTGCTTCACTATTGTCTAAGATAATTATAATGAATTCATGGGACACTATAGTCTTCCTTTTAAACTTTAGTGGTTGGATGGAGACTTGTTTCCCCACCCCGTACACTAGTAAATTTGTAAATTTTAAATATTTGATTTAGGGAGGTATTTGCAATCCAACTCTGATGATGCAAGACTAATCAGCCAAGACTAAATTATGAACTTATTATCATTTAGACTATTGAGTTCATTAAATTATAATTCCATAGATATCATATTTAATCCTGTCAACACAATAATGGTATTAATTGGCATGATATGTAGTCAGAGACGGTTTAAAAATTTGTTTAGATTAATGATAGTATTAGGAAAAATCCTAACTCAAAGTTTTTGTTCTCTCGCAATCCAGAGCAAACCACTCGCCGGGCAAGCATTCTTTAAAAACGTGAAGTTTTGACCATGTTGAGCAGTTTTGAAAATTGTCCAATTTGAACCATCGCCTTGTATATTTCTGTAACTGCCCCCCCCCTTGACACTCGAGTGTAAGAATCCTTTCCACACTGTCAATGGTTTTACAAAATAGTTCATGTCAGGAAGGGGGAGGGTTGAGTGTGGAGAACAATCACTGACTGCGATTTGTATGATTGAACATTATACACTTATCATAAATTCGTAAAGAATAGTTTTAAAATAAACAGCTTGTTTTATGTTATGATTGGAGTGATGTATGCATAGAAGAATGACACTGGTTTTGAAATATCTTAATTATCCCATTGAATGAAGCCATCCGTCCCTCTGTCCATTCTTAACTCATACTAGTGGACTGATTTGATTTAAAGGAGAAGTCTCGGTGTAGAACGTGTACACACTAATGGGAACGAATTTTACTCATTTCTATTTAGGATTCGTTCATATACTAGCGGGGCTTTAGAGCATTTACAAACGCACGAATTGTATTGTTTTAAGGCAACTTTTATGACATATAATCATTATATTTAAAGCTGATTAATTTTAGATTATATTCGGTTCAATTTTACAAATAATGAATAGTATTACAGTATATCGAAAAATGTACAATGATTTACATTAAATTGCGCAGACTGCAAACAATGTACATGGTTGGCGAATTTGCATGCGCGTTCTTGATAATAAGAATTAAAGGTTGAACTTAAAAATCAAACATTTTCTTATTTAAACATAATAAATCTTTAAATCAAGAAAATAAAAATAAGATTGATGATTGAACTTTTCATAGTCAACTGCGACTTTGTCGACGCATGTTTATTTACTTAGCTAATTAGATATGTAAAATTGTTAATGGCCGCAACGGATAATACGTACATGTAAGCTGTTCGGATAAGACATTTCTATATGATTAATAACAAATCCCGGGCAGAATTTTATTCAACAGTAACTGATCTTATTAGTTATTATTCAATTTGGATAATAAATCTATTATCTCGTCGTATTGATGTTTATTATATAGTGTTTCTCGTTGTGTTTTCTGTTTGTTCAATTGTCCTTTTTTGAAGTTAAATCCACCAAAATTCAGATAATGGTAAAATGATTATTAGTGAAAATGTTGAAGATAAATATACAGATCATGACCATGAAATAATCATACATTCATACTTTTATCTTAAGCATTTTCACAAATAATCATTTTACCATTATCTGAATATTTGTGGACTGAACTGTAATAATAAAGAAAATTGAATAAATATTCCAATTTCAAAATGTTCCAATTTTTATTGGCCCACCCTGTATGTAGTAGGAGTGCCAAATAGAAAGGACCAAAAATCGTTACAGAATACGGTAAGAAAACAAAAACATCAAAGAGTACACCACTCATAAGGAAAACAAACCCCGACTATCCTATACCATATTCTTACGGAAAAAGAAACAATGTCTAGTACCCCCTCCCCCGCTATTCAAGTATCATAATCACAAGTTGAGACTTCAACACCAAGGAATTGTTTAATTCCTACCCGGGAATTCCTATAACACATAATAGCCACTATAACCTGTACAGGGTGGGCAAAAAGCGTCCTCATTTTTAATTTTGATGTAACATTTTTGAAACTGCATGGCTAAAACTTGGAAGATTATGCAGAAATCAATTTTTCAATTTTTTTTGTTCCTAAGGTGGGATTAACAAATTACTGGCTTACTGGCTTGTAGTTTATATATATAGCATTACTCTGAGTCTTAAAGAACAATGAAGAAACGGGTTCTTCAATGTGTAAGCTCAATCAAGCACCATACTGATCTTTTTTGCCACAAATAAGATCTCAGAATAGCTTTCACATTTAAATATATTTTTCCATATCATTGTTTTCTCCGTGTACCTTTACTATTCAAAAATCCGCAGAGACCTAATTTATCCCACTTCAGGGACAATTGTAAAATTGATTTCTGAATATCCTGCCAAAATCTTATAGAATGCCATGTGTATTATCAAAAAAAGGTATATCGAAATAAGAAATGTGGACGTTTTTTGGCCCACCCTGTTTACATGTTATATTGATTTTGATAAAAGAACAAAAAAGTGAAATCCTATTTTCATCAAATGTCACACATAATTTCTTCTTATGAAAATAGCTACATGACTGCACAAGTTGTCGGCTATTACCATCGATGGATTCCTTGGGGGTGAACCAAGGAGCGACGTGGAACTATTGAAAAGACCCGCTGTCTTATCTAGCGACCAATTAATCATCTAGATAGGATGTAGTTCTCTAAAACATTTTGACACTTGTCGATGGTCACTGAGTTTTCTTAAGCAATTTTGACACATGTAACCTATGATATATAGTCGACTGCAGTTATACACGATTTTCCTGGCTGTCCTGACTCATCGATCTTAGATTTGCTAGGATGATCGTTTTCTGTTTGATAAAGACTGCATTAAAGATACAATATCATTAAATGAAATATAATACAAAACAATATTAACAATTTACAATACATTACAATTACATAACAACACAAAACAACAGATCAACAATATACTTGTACATGAATGTTCCGATCAATAACTGTAAAATTGTATTAACCCTTTCATTGCATTCTTAATGCTTCTAGGATCGAGCCATGAAATAAAAGATGTGTATTTTAAAATGGAAATACTGGAATAAATTTTGTAATGAAGTACCTCGGGGAACATTGCGAGTGATTTTTTATATCATAAGAATCATATTTTTATGTTTTATGAAATATGAGCCTAGGTCTCCGCGACATTTTTGGCGTAGTGTATATTAATAATGCATTTCAGTTTAGAGTATTTGTGTTACCCATAAATTATAGGGTGACCTCTAAACATGTGATAATTAAAGCGAAAACGAATTTTCGAGTTGAATTTGACTACCCTGTTATAACGATGTCGTTATTTTTGTTTTAAATTGTGTTTATTGACCGACGAGCAAGTACATATTACAATAAACAAGTCAGAATATTAGACAACACGTACAGGTATATACCAACAAGTGGTTTCGGTTATATTCATTAACATAAGCATATTTTCTTAAGTTTTCAGGCGTGAGTAAAAATGATGAACTGGTGCACATTCAGCGACCTAACTTTCCGCCTAACTTAGTCACTGAAATTGAAAATAAATATACCAATGCAAAACAACGACGTCGGTATACCTGCGATAGCCGCCGATCTCATGTTGTTTGTACGGAGAGGGATAGTAGGCAGATATAGTTCGGGTAGAGATGGGTGCTGGTCCATCCGGATGACATCCATGCGCCTGTTCAGATAGACTTCCTTCACCATCAATGTTCAAATCGTCCGGCGAATCAGGGAACAAATGATCATCTTCAAAGCATACACGCTTTCCACTTCCGCTTGAAAGTTTAGCTTCCAAAGGTGCACGTATATCACGTTCCACATCTGTGGTTCTGACAACTTCAGACAACTCTAGGTCAATATGTTTAGCAAAATGTTCCCCACTCCCCGTAGAGAAATATTTCTGGCTCGGCCTCAAATCACTTTCTCGAGTTTGTGCGGGAAGTGTCTTCCAACATTTTTGTTGAAATGCCTGACGTTTTTGTTTACCTCCTACGCTTAGAAAAGCTGAATAAGCATCATCAAATCTCTGCTCAAGAACCTGACTTCGACCAGGGTTCCTTTTCCTGGATGTCGTACCAAATGCTGCACGTCCACCAAGCATTTTTCTAATTTCTCATAGAACTGAAGTCATATAATGTATGAACCCCTTGTTGAACGCTACGTCCGATTTGATCTCGTCGAAATAACCTACCGGTATTAACTAATACAGGAAATTGTAGATCTAGTGAATATTCATCAGAAGTTATGAGAAACCTATTTCCGAACAGTCAGGTATGTATTGTCATTGACTAATGAAGACCCTGGTATTGTAAATCGCTATTCTTATTTGATGAACAAATCTTGATTGAAGATATATTTGTTGACCAGTGTCCATGTAGACTTATGACATGGAATGAGATTTTCAACGTGATTATCAATGTTAAATCCCACTTAATAGTCTTACAAATCAATTTTAATTATGATAGATCCTCGGTTGAATTCGCTAGTTGTCATCTTGTGAAAAACGTAATTAGGTAAATCACGTGCTGACTTTACAGATTGTAATCTAATAATGGAAGTTTACTGTCATTCAAGTTATCAAACCATTTGTAATAGTCTATCAAAGTATTGGTATATTTTATATAATCGACGATTTATTTTATCATATTCTAATTATACTAATCACGTTATGAAATTCGTGGTACGAAAATGATTTACTTTTGGAAGATCGTCTTTTCCAAACTCGCTTCTGCGCTTATCACCTCACCTATGATATCATACTCAACCAACGCCTAACATCTGACTCAAAAATATGTCCTATATATGGCTTATTTGATTTTAGAATTGTATATCCAGTCTCAGACATTCCAATGACAGATCCGATGCCAACTTCCGAGTTTGACCTTGATCTCAAGTTTTGCAAATCTTTCTCCAATTTTATGTTTCTATATCCAGAAATTAACTGGTGAAATTAATGATGTCATTTTCCCTAGTAAATCATCCTCATCCAGCGACTATGGCTATCATCTGCGTATTTATTAAGGTACTCTTCTAAGTTAAATTTATAAGGTTATTTCTGGTTCGCGTTACTCCATAGATATATTATTCTCTATCTCATAGCACATGGGAATCTAAGTGCTCTATGACATATAATTCTGGTTCATCCCGACTAATAACAATTCCAGAAAAGTCGAATTGATACCATGTCACACCTTAGGTATAATTACAAAAGTCACCAAAACGTATTTCCCCATATGTGTTGGTTATCATTTCCATACGCCTTCCCTACTTGACTGTTGCGAAGTATACTTTCTACTTTTCGTCGCTACGTATTGTTAAGTGCGCAATACTATGGGATAAACGTTTATATAATGTCTGGTGATGATATCCGCATTCCATCATTAACACGATTCAAGACGACTTGTTTCGAATTGAATATCGGAACACATTCCATCTTGCACCTTGATTCATCTTCAAGTACTTTAAAGGGTTACGTGTAAACACACTCGTATCTTGCTAATGTTCCGTGTAAGGAATACCAAAATGCTCACACACGGTGTCCAACCCAAACGCGCTAACATGCACGACGGGGCGTTTCATTACTGAAACTAAACAAAGAAATGCTCCGGAGCAGGAAAAATGGCGAGCGGGAATGTAGATATATAGTAGATATGGCTAGAAATTAGCTTGACTTTCCTTCTCAGGAAGAGAAAGAAAGGATCTATTAAACCCCTTGGCATCAAAAGAAGATTAATTCACATATTTCTAAAATTGTGTCCAAAATCGACGGAGCGTTTCAAGGAAAACAAGTGAGAACAAGTTATGGATTTTGGACTGGGATTTTAGCAAATGAGAATATACGAGTTTGTGATATACTACTTTGACAGAAAGATTGACGTTTTCATATAAATATTAGTTTAATTCGTAATTTGTGGTCAATTCGTCAACTTCAGATTCGTTCGATCTACACTACGGAGCTTTGATCAAGCAAATAACAGTTTACCACCAGGAGTTGAATAAATAAAAGATCTTTGCTCAGGGTATTGTTCATCGAATGGTACATTATGTGTCACCATAACGTATGATATGTAAGAGAAACGAGTGAACCAATACCACGGGATACTAGAGTATCCGCGTATATTGAGTATGACCGGTTCTTAGGCTACGAATATGACCTGTTTTGGAAAGTCATGAGAGGCACAGCTGCTTAAAAATGGAAAATAAAGGTTAACTTCTATATTATCCTTTTTGAAATTGTGTTTGTTGAATATAGTTTATGCTGTATTTAATAGTAATGTAACAAAAAAATGTTAAACATGAGCTATTTTAGCAATGTAACTGTTCATAATGGAATATCAATCAGAAAGTACAGATTTCTGGCCTTAGAGCCAAATCATTAATATCACAGTAGAAAAAACAAATCCCAAACCTTTTTATGGCTAACCTGAACAAGATCTCCAAATCTCAGTTTATATGATCCCCCGTAGAGCGAGCAAGAGAAGGATTTATCTTTTCCCAGAGGATACGCTTGTGAAATGTCATGGAAACGAGTGTAACACGGCCCACTGATTGATGTGATCGGAATGTTACCGGTGTAGAATACGAGTGTATGCTCCTCAATAAGAGGTGTTACTGATGCTGCCATCTGAAAAATGTTGTATTTTAAGTTAAATGTGTAGTTTCAGCAATTTGGTTACAGAGTATTTTGTTATATTTTCAAATACATGATAAACTTTTCTTTCCATACATTGTAATGTATTGGTATAAAACCTGTCTTATTATATTACTGAAATTCGATAAAAAATGTTCTAAAAGCATATTTTGCCATTACTTTCGCCAACATTCTGAAATCGGGTCAACTGATTTAACCACAAATCTACAAAAGGTCTGAAATGGGACAACATAATTATAATCAAACAAGGCTATTGTTTTCGGTCTACGTTTAACTGAATTCTTTTGGAAAAAATAGGCTCTTGACATTATAAGTCATCTACACTCTTATTTAGTTCTTCCCACTTTATATTGAGACCTACTGCAAGCGTCTGAAGAGCCTCAACATTCTGGTATTTCGAATTACCTTTTGCATCTGTCACCGCTAAAAGTCGTATCCAAACACCGGTTAAATGCCGATCCAAGACATTTCACAACCGTATTCTCCAATAATGGGGCACCAGTGACATTCGTATTCTCAAAAATTCAAAGATGTATCATATTTGGACAGAGCAGGCTAAATTATTTAAAATATTCATGACTAATTCGTAGATCTAGCTATATATTATACATAAGATGTGTCATCCTCTTCGGAGTTGCGTTGTGTTACACAAAAACTGATCAAAGATGCTGGAAACTAGGATTTTAAGGCTTCAATCTAATATTAATACGTTTTCTCTTGATTAAGGCCCCTTGTGATATGCCTGGCATTATAAGTATACCAAGTATCATTCATTGACCAAGTAGGATAAAAAGAAAACGTTCGAAAGTGTTCATAAAAAGCAAGTACTCACCTCGTCTGTTTATAGGAACAGAAATACGGTCACACTCGTAAGCTTAGAACCGGTCATACTCAATATACGCGGATACTCTAGTTACCCGTGAATACTTACGGTCAAAGTGGGATCTTCATTAGCCGCCATTTTATTTCGCTCCGCAGCATTTCTGCGTGAATGAGACGCTCCGTCGTGCATGTAAGAGCGTTTGGGTTGGACACCGTGTTATAAAGACTGTCTGCTTTTACTTCAAAATCGACTTATCGTGTGTGTTCACATCCTTCTTTGTCTTTGTAAAGTCTTTGTAACGATCTTTGTAAGTAAGCCTAGTTCATACCTTTCAATTACTGAGTGTTTACGGTGCCAACGTGTTATAATTGCGAACTAATAGCGAGAGTTATAAATTACCTCTGCTATAGAAACAATAGAATTATTCCGAAATTAGCGCTGATTTTTATAAAGACGACATACATCAAATATTTATTCTGTTCCTTGTTATAGACTGAAAAAACAATTGGGTAAAAGTAATGCACTTAAATTCTCATCTCCGACTGGTTGAAAGTTGAAGTTTGCTTCAAGCAAAGCTTGCATCCGATTCAGGAATTCATCACGTTCTTATTTATATCGACACAATGAAGTCCCGCAGAGACACGTCCAAACTATCTGTGATACTTGATCCCTTTGTTATATAAACCCAAGCAATATCTTTAGGTTGAAACTGAATATGATGCCTTTAGTCTTTTACGTCTTCAGCTTAAACATGGTCCCTAAACTACGATCTAAACCTTAGTGGATGGTTCTAAATACTCACGAATATATGCAGAGCTCCTTAGATTTATAACCCAATACATCTGTAGCTCTATTTGTAGTTGAATGTTATGACTTAGAATAAGAAAAGAGGTACGAACGACAATGTGTCAAGGCTCTTCAATATGTGTCAAGAGTATAAAAAGCTAAATTGCCCCCACATTTGCTGGTGGCACTTGAAACGACCATTGGGTATAATATGTAGCTGAAATGTGCACGTCATTTTGAGGTCATATTCTCAGACAATGTTTTTTTCTCCAAACAGTTCAAACCTTTGCTGGCCAATTCTCAGTGAACAAATCTGGTACGAAATAGACAAAATTGTTTCTATCACTTATGCCTAACAAGCTGAGAAATTGATTGATTTAAGCACTAAATAACTATACTTTCTAAGTGTCAATTGCCAAGTGCCTGGTTGCTTATAAATTGCAACCCAGAGTTTCTATTGGATTATATAGAAAAACCTGTCGCAAAAATTACCAAGAACAGGCAAATAAAAAATAATGGCAGTTTCTTGTAAAGTGTATAACTTCCCGTGTGGCACTTAAATGCAGATATATAATACAATATGCAGAAGCCTTTAAGCAGCTTAATAAGTATTTGAACAAAGTGCTACCATTTACACATCTAATAGTTTTAAACACATAACGATAATTTCTTTCTCTCATAGGCCAAACTAAATACATAACTATCCATATGATGCTGAACAAATATTTCACTTATCTAGGTGAACACAAAACCCAGGTGCATCTTTCAGTAATGATTTTCTACGAAGTCAAATGTGAAAAGTGAAACTGCTCCGTCGTAAAGGATAAACAATTAATTTTTTTTATAAAAAGGCCCAATATATCGAGATCTACCTTCAAATTTATGCTAAAAACATGTGTAAATATCATCATGTCATCATATCGTGCCATTAAAGTTAAAAATAAAATAAATGGTACATTTTAGAGTATGATACTCTGGAGCCGTTTTCAATAGCTTTTACTCCTATTTAGTAGCTATATTGGACTTCATACAGAGGTGAAGATCATCCGCAAATGATACATTGCATGAAATAGGTTATTGTCTTTGGTTTAACGAACATGTTGGTTAAAAAATAAATTGCATGCTCTGTCATGGCGGACAACGCTTTCGATCGCATCCGTGGAAGCATATCGTAAAATGATATCTTTTTTATTAGAATAGCTAATTTGTATCTATATTTTGAACACAATTGTCAATTTATGAAAGTACGATAGAACAGAAAGTACACATCTCATGGGAAATGTTTTAGAAATACTTTTAATCCACTTTTCTATGTACCTTCTTTAAGTGCTTTAGTTTCAATAAACTAGAAGGCACAATGAATGCTCCTTCTATGAATTACACAGATTTCCCTGGTGATCAAGGGATCATGATTGATCAGAATTTGTTCACAGTTTGGAGTGACCAAAATTCAAAGCTTGATTCGTTTCTAGACTTGGTAGAACATTATCTGGTTTTTAAATTCCTCAATTAATAATAAAAACTAAAAATACAATAAACCCAACGCATTAAATGCCATATCTGCAGCTGACTAGAATAAAATCCCATATCTTAACATGTTTTGATTCACAGAATAGGCAGTATTGACCAAGTATCCATCGTTGGAACTAGATAGACGTGAAAATGTCGAGACAAATGTCCCCTAAAATCACTCATTTTAGCTGATATTCATGTCATATTCACCCCCTTCTCAGGTAAAACATGTGAATAAATCTACGCACGCATCACCTCGTTGACCCTATTATCGGTTACTACAACACATTTGGTAATTGCTTCTCATCCCATGTCAAATGGAAGATACGAGCGGATGAATATTATGTATACATGTGCAGTCTGGATTGACTTACAAACATTAACATTTTGTACAATCATCGGCGTACAGTTGTGCTAGTTCTAGACAAAGCTTACTAATACGCCATCTATTTACCGACATTTGTGGTAAATTGAAAGGTGTCGTTATAAGGACAAGATGTCTACTTCATTATATCATGGACTTGTTTTATACCTTGTTTAATATCTAACTGGCTCTGACTGTGAAGATGACTGATATATAATGTATAAAACACACAAAATATTAAGAATAATTTTACTTACTCGGGATAATGTCGCACATTCTTCAGTTGAGTTTGCAGCAGTGCGCAGGTGCGTAAATCCGATGAATCGACAGCTCTTCTGCGTGCCACTGGGGCGACGACCTCTTCTGAGACATGAGCAAGCTGGTTTGTGAATACATGGGACGGTGTGGACTGGATACTAGCCAGGGAGGAGCGTCTCCGCGAAGCCATATAGCGCGAGGCAGCACCCCCTATCATATTATTGTTGTTATTGGGGGTTGCCCTTACCTGACTTGGCACTGAAATTACAGAAGATAATCAAAGTAGACAAAAAGGGTTATTTTGCATTACATGGTTTCTAAATGACAAGGAAGAGATACATGCAGATATTTTCTATCTTCCTATTTTTCTTAGATCATAATTGGTATACGAGGGATTTTTCCTCGTATATGTGTATTCATGAAGCTGCAGTACTCTGAGTGCACACACTCTTTTGAAGTCAAAAACCTTTTTCAACTTACTATCCCAAAGCTAATCTCTTTTACAAGTTGTTCAAAGATCTTAGAAATGTTACAAATGTTGCACCACATAAGTCCAACTTTAGGAAGGAATATCTAAGCAACAAGAAAGAGGTCTTGACTTCTGTAATTAACTGTTGCAGAAAAGGATACAGAGTGTGAATACTTGAAGTAATCAATTCAATGAACATGCCAATATTTATTTCAAAAAATATATGATCAACTGTTAAGTAGTTGAACTTAAACGCTCGTGCAGATATCATATCCATTCGTGATGATAAAAATCATATCACTCATAAATCATAGGATATCCTCTATATCTATGAATCATCATGCCAGTTGAGTTTTGGAAAATGCAAGTTACATATTCGCTTTGCTGTATCAGTCTAATAAATCGACATATTATATATATATATACTGGTATCTGCAAATATCAATTGTAAGCTAATCCACAGGTGGATATTATTCAGGCCATCATTTAGACTAACTGCAATTGAATAGAAAATTAAAACCATCTCTATAAATAGTTTAATCTCCGGTTGTGCGAATTCGAAGTGAGATACTGAAAGTTTTCCAAACTCACTACTCGCAAATGAAAACACAACTTACTATTGTCAATTAAAAACAGTTTACTATTGTCAATTAAAAATATATGCCTCCTTATAGCTTCTTCTTTAAATAAATTCAATGACATCCTATGGTAGACAAGTACAAGCACATGCATTGGCCTACGTAAGAAATGTACCAGAGACAGCTGGCTCTGCTTAACTGATTAGTTCAATGATTTCATACAAGATGACACAAAAATACAATCCATGAACAAAACGTCTACTTTTAATATAAATATTTAAATCTAATAAATAACACTGATTTCAAAACGAAGACAAAGCGAAAGAAAGCTAATCCATGGATAACATGACGGAAACTGGTTTAATATGTATCCCAATACCAAGCAAGAACATTGAAATGCTCCCCATTGAACACCTCATCGAAAAGAGCAAAATGAAAATTCCTTCATTAGTGACAACGCGTACAAAAACAGTGGTTTGCATTTTTGTGTCACCCTGTACTTTTACATATACATAGGAGGAAACAAATTGCATGGCGCCATGTTTATATCAGAAACATCTGCCACTAGACAAGGTTTGTAAATGTGCATTGGATCGCATTCCAACAAACATGAAGAAAACAGTTTGAAACTGGCCCAATCAGCTCTATGAAAACGTACGATGTATCCTCTTTTCAATATACTTCATATACTGTACAAATTGGAGGATGCATCTCAAGTTGACTAGGTTCGTACAGTGAAATAGTATCTCCTTCCTTTTTGAAGAAGGAAAGCAATGAACGAAACTGTTTGGTATTAATAATGAAAGACTATGACTATGAGTGTTCAGTACGGCGTCGAAGATCCGTTGATTAGATTGTTTATATAGTTTGATTAATTTTAAGGATAATCTGTAATTTCAATAGCTACCCTAATTTAATTAATCTAATTTAAGAAGAGGTCCAACTCTGATCATCTGATTATTCTGATGAGTGACTCGAGTATGAAAGGACGGGACTCATTGGCAATCCCGTTATTTGACAGTGTGGACCCCGGTATGTTATTAATTCGAAGGAAAAGACTCAGGCTATATATGTATAAGAGAGGTTGTCTGGGGTCACTAGTATTTATCGTGTCTGGCTAGTTAGTCCAGGTAGTAGTTATAGTTATTAAGACCATAGGTATTATCAATTTATTGTCAACATGTTATGTCGTATTCCATGTTCAACACATTGTCGATGGATTTACAACTTGTATTTGAAGTTGGACATATGGCATGAGCTAGTTTCAAGGGTTGTAACACAAAACCACTTATCATTTGTAGATTCAGTGATCTATATTACATTACTGGTAGTATTGATTAACAAAATAAACGTCGGTCATTATCTTGTAAAATCAATATGGTTTCAAATTCAACCTCACCTGCTTTAGGTTTTGAAAATTCTAACTCGGCAGATTCGTCAATCATTTTGCGCATATTATATCTCTTTTTAGGAATCCAAACTCGTGACCATATTTCAAATTTGGTTGGATCACGTAGGTCGTCTCCATCAGAGGACAAACTGGCCTTGCGCTTGAATCTAAATCGATCCAAGGGGGTTTTATCCTTGTGTGAATCTCTGTGCGATTCAGATTCTATTGAACTCTCGTAGGGCGTGTATGCGTCTCTTTTGTCGAACCCAAACTCTGTTTCTACATCAGAAGCAACTGCTTCTTTATCGGGTGAGTGAAGGTTGAATGGTTTGGGGTCAGCCTGACCAGTTGATTCGTAAGGAATCTTGAAAAAGTCATCATAATCCATTTTGACAGATAAGGTTTCGCATTTATAAAATGTTTTGTGTTATTGTCAAATTAATTTCAAACATCAACTGTTAAGACCATGTCGTGTGTTTTAAATCCAATCCGGATCCACGGCACATGTTTGTAGATCACAATTAAAAGCGGGAACTATATTACAAATTGCTAGTCTCTATATGCATTAAGCATTTCAAGCGCATATATTTATAATTTTATTTCATCGGATACAGACTCTGTATCATCCAGCAGTTTTTTTTCTTGCCTACATATATTAATTCAGCTATTATCCATCGAATTCAATGTTGTTATCAAGACTATATACTTCTGACTGGAACCTTCATTTTTAATCCAATGACATTAAGTATCGGATGTAATATATTGATACATAGGTTTGTATGCGTTTCCTTTATTTGCTCTCCCTATATTGTGTTACATATGCAACATATGCTAGATTAATCATCAACCATCATAAATACTATCAATTATTTCTTAATCCTTTGCCATGATCCTTTGAGATAAGATCAATTTTTGCAAATACTTCTGAAATATTCTTCATTACCCACATCACCTGTTGAATATATCTATAACAAATCATACGTATTCATGTCTGGCTCAAAATATAAAATGCGTGTTAGTAATAAATGTAATGGAATCGTTGTAACTTGGATTATGCAGTTATCGGTAGTTTATAAATACAGGTGTAGTGTCTGAAATATTAACATTGAAGTATTGTCCTGTTATACTAGACACAGCCGTTGCGGATGCATTATTAAAACTGCAATTACATTCATTTACTTCAGCAATGCGCACTCGTTCCGGCCCGTTGTTATTTTTTAAAGCGATTGTTGAATCTATAGCAAGCGTTGATTCACATTATGTTTTCATCAATTGTATGATTAATGTCTCTTAATCAGTATTGTTAAAGAGATATATTGGCTGTATAGCTGTAGCATGCACAATGCATCTATTTATATCTGCTGCATCAACTGCAATAAATTCCATGAGTTTTAATAAACATAATGACGATCTTTATTCCAGCGTTGTATTAATAAAAATTAAAATAATTACGGAATTCCCGGCATCGTATGACAGTTTTGAGTTTAGTGCATGTTACCTTGTATTCGCGGCTGCCGGCTACCTGATTAACATGCTATTTTATGACCAACTCATTTATATATGGATACTACCTTCCATCATTCCATTAATATTTAGATACGTTTGCCATACAAAAGAAGGTTCATCCGGAAGCCGATAGTCGTTATTTGCATTCGCGAATACAAGATTATATACTCAAATGTGGTCGACCCACGCCTTTTCTTTGTTGGGGATTTTTTTAACACGCCCATCGTGAGATATAGAAGCTATCGGATCTAGATATAATCCATAATACAAAGTAAACACACTCGTTTTTCTATTTATAATACATTGATGTCAGTTTCTGCTAGTACAAATGTCGACTTTATAACATGAATTACTGTAACAGATAATATACACCATGCCTGATTGATCACATTACAGATGGGGTTTCCATGGCAGCCTATGTATATACATGGCACACTCATTTTCATGAACTGGTGTAGGAGCCCGTGCAGGAGGGATTTTGCTTTCAACTCTATGTCACTCTGAACTTTAAAGCGATCATGTGTCATTAATTCTCCTCGACACTGTAATAATTAATTATACAAAGAGAAATAGAATCACATTGAAATAAATCGGGTGGGATATTGCAGGGGCTTGCATAGGCTTGCAATTTTGATTTTTTTGCTCGCTTATGTCGCTATTGTACCCCCCTGATTGAAAACCGAAATTTATCTAAAATTGGCAAGGGAGTCGAAAGAAATTTTAACCTATTTCAGTTTTTAAAATTATCTTAAAACTGGAAAATGGGGATCAATTCGAAACAAAGCCATGTCTTCGTTTCGACATGACGGTCTTCCGGAAGGAGAATTTGATAAGGTGTCACTACGGTAAATCATTGAAAAATATTGAAAAAAATCACAAAATTCAAGTTCTGGGGTACATATCGCCATTTTTGAACGAACTAGCCCATACAATGACTATATTTCTGCGTTCCCCTATACATAACCTTCATATTGACACTATATTTAACATAGGGTTTGCGTCTCGATTTTAAAATATCACTACGCCAACATAGGGACTAATTTTTAGGTAGAATCCCTGCTTCACCGATGAAAATTAACGAATAAAGTAGTTCCAGTTTACGGGACTATATTCTTGTGATTTTTTTCTTAAAATGCCACATTTAGAAAGTACTTGGCCTCAGCTTTACATACATGCCTCAAATGGCCACATTGCATACACTTAAACCTACTATACACACCATTGAAGTTGGCATGGCTTCGTTTTTAAAGTATTAAAAAACATTGTCCTACCCGGAAGTGGTATTTACCGGAGTGACACCATAAGAATTTTTTCTCGATTTTATCACTTTATCCCTCAAATTTCAATTGGAGTGCGTAGATTTCGATTTCGAAATATGATTACACCTACGGAAGACAAGCAGTAATTGTTCGGATAATTACAAATCAATTCCCTCGCTTAGGAAACAAAGACAATTTTTCAGAGAAACGAAGGCAGCGAGCACATGCGTTTTTGCAACAAAACAGAGCCATGGTCTACGATATTGTCATGCACCTTTCACTAGGGAAACGCACCATGTCACATATCTGGCATGGTCTAATATTGTCAGTAACAATTCAAATATGGAGGTACTAGAACACTCTCCATACTACCTAGATAAAGCTCATCCGGTATTTACTGTAAGTAAGTACTCCTAAAGAGTGGAGTGGCTCATATTTCACCACCTTTGATGAAAGTAAGAAAAATGTCGACACATCACTGGGTGAATGCACTAAGGACTGAAAAGATGAGTACAAACATTGGGTAGAGAGACACCTTAATAATTAAGAAGCTACTAAAATGTCTTCATTCCCTAAGCGAGGGGACTGATTTGTAAAATGTCGAAATAATTATTCATTTTTGAGATGTAATCATATTTCAGAACTGGAACATACACAACGTAGGGGCCAAATAATAATAAGTTGAAATTTGAGATATAAAGGTGATAAATCAAGGAGAATTGGCTCCCAGAGTGCAACATCGATATTCTGTCCCATATATGGGCAAGTCCTGATCTAAAATTCGAATTCAAACAGCCGCCATTTTGTTTACTTCAACATTTGAATTGTGAATTTTGGTCTCATTTCCAAACGAAAAATTCCAAAACTCACAAGAAATGATCGAGATATTTTGAACTGTTTAATTTGAATGTATAGTCGGTTATAATTTCAGAAAGTAACGACATTTTGACGTTTTCATTGTTGGAAAATATCGAGTTTCGATCCTGGGAGCCAATCTTACTTGGTGATAAATCAAGAAAACACTATTTAATCTAATCCTTCTACCTTACCGGAAGTCCTGCTGAAACGAAGACATAGTGTCGTCGTTTATGTCTTCGTTTCCAGATTATCTCCAGTGCATTTTATAACATCGAAGTAAAACACTTGTCTATAGACCATATACTTAGAACATTTTGAAAGGGTAAACCACAATAGTTTAAAAACATACACGTCGGTCGAAATAAATCGTTCGTCGATGTAAACATAAGGAGGCATAATGCGACATCTTTCATAGTAGGATGATGTTGAGTTCGTCCTTTATTTCACAATACTGCCCTTTGTGCTAGAAGTCTCACTCATGTAAAAATAGTTATTAGATTTGTGATTATTGATGTAATAAATACTTTCAATTTATATCTTTTTTAGTGTCCCCACTCACATTAGTAATTTTAGATATACCGAACCTCGTAATTGATATGGCGAACATTAGCACATTAATTTGTCATTTTGTCTCACCATTTATGGAGTTGGTCTTCTCAGATGAAATACATTACTTTGCGGTATCAATCGCTCATACTCCACGTTTTAAAATAGTATAGCTACATGTAATTAATAGATAGGTTTTGAAAGAATACACATTCCGGGTGATAACAATATAAGAATTGATTGATTCTTCCTTTGCATTTGTGATAACACCCTGGAGATATTGGTACAGTGTAGGCATTAATGCCGAGCAATCCACTAATTTTGGAACGTTTTCTCAAATATGATGGAATCATCTTGATATTGCTTGTGCGTGTAACATTGGTAGATCCAGAACGCTTCCAGACAACCTTTTTTTGAAGGATGTCCAGTTTTTGTCCACCCCGTATTGATTGGCTGGACCACGTTTGGTGGAAAACGACCTTGGCTTGTATGCTAGTAGTATAGTCAGATTGATTACGGCAAGTTTGTATCCAACAAATCCACGGTACGGGTGAAGTATCATAAGTTACAAAATATACTAATTAGCTGATAATGGACCGCGTATGATTTCTGTTTGGTATCAAAAACCTATGGATAATTGGATATCGTTAAATACTGTATATTATTACAACTATAACTTTATTGCTTCCACGTTAATTGATGCAATATTACAGGACTAGAATACACAATTATAATAGCCTAATGTAAATATAATTTCTTTACTATCTCATAAGGCACTCTTAATACCCCAATGGGAAATTATGTTTTACAATGGCATTGATAAAGATTGCTGAGCAAATATTAATGTAGCTTTCTAATATAAATTGTAAGGTAAAAGGAGCAACGAGGCGCAACATTAAAAATTGAAAGGCACTTATCATCGTGTTATATATCTGCGTCGGGGGCTTTTTTATCAAAAACATTACGATTGGAACGCTAGTTTGATTTTTCAACAAATTATAACAAAAGGCAAATCGCGTATATATAGAGATTTCAAAGGTCCAATGTTAGACATGTGTCCGGATTATTCAGTCCCATAATTATATCGTCATTTCTTCATAGAATTTGCACGTAATTAATCCAACTGTTCCAGTGTATACGGTTCGTTTATATCTGATTAATCACGCGAGAATGAGAACATCAGCTGCTGCTGTTAAACAGCATGTAAGTGAGTGAGGAGTATTTTATATTCGTAATTGGAAAAAATTATGCATACACCTGTACTTGCATGGGAAGAGTACATTTTATACAGTAAACATACATGTAAT